CAAGAGACCAAAAGGCTGAAACCCGAAAAAAATATCAAGCGTTATCAAAAAAGTCATAGACGCCCCGATGATAGAAATATACCGATACATTTTTTGAATAGAGGGCAGTCAATTATGTACAAAATATTCAAAATACTTTGTCACTCAAAACTGGTTCAGGCCATTTTCAACATTTTAACATTTTTAACCTGATAACTCGAAAACTATACATCATATCGAAAAATGGAATCAATTTTTGGAATTGGCATAAAATCTTACATCAAGTACAGAACTTTGAGGAAATTCTATTTTTAGGCACTTTTCCCTATTCTTTTGGTCTTCGTCCTTTGTTGGATAAATCTCAGTGTTACAATATTTCTTGGTAATATTTGAACTGTGATTAAAAGACAACGATTGAACATGATTAGTAAAGTAAAAATTATAACTGGCAATTTTACAGGAAGATAACTTACTGGTTTGGTGCAATTTCAGTCAAATAAGCAGTCTGAATGTTAACATCGTCAATATTTCTAAAGACCCTGACCTTGTCTTCCCAATCAAAGGAAATCGCATCAACTTCACTAAATGGCATAAACGTTTTTACCGTATAATTTTCAAATGAGAAGCCTGTAAAAATCGTACTGTGATAATGAAAATTAGTAAATAGCATCAACATGGATCATTATAAATGACTTACGATTCGTTCAATCCATGTTTTGTATCCAAAACATATGAAAACATTTCGCCAAGTTGTTTAAGTATCGCAACGGACAAATGAAATGGACCAACTTGTGAATCCATTTGCCCGATTTCAAACCCAATTGCATAAGTGTGTTCGATATTACCTGACGAATAAATAAAAAACAAACAAATTAAGGACTAAACATGAAAAACTGTAATCATGATTCACTTACCAAGCTTAAAAGCATTCGGTCCAGTGAGTGGGAAAGCAATTATGGTTGAGCACAAAGCAAATAATACAAAAATCGTAGATTTTACCATTATTTTTATTAAACACTAAATGAGTAAAACTTGACAATAGATGCGTATTATGTGTAAAGAGAAGTGATCTAAATCTAAAATGAAACGAAATCTAAATACTGAATATTGTAATACTCACAGTAACATTCAAAATGTGGCACGGAATTGTTTTAGCAATTTTTGATTTCTCAATTGATTTGATGAGTTAAGTAAATTGTATTCAAAGATCTTTTTCATTGTCAAATAATCAGATTATCAAAAACAGTTCGTTAATCATTATCCTTTTAATTTTCAATTAGATTTTATCTTTAATAGCTCATTTATTTATTTTAAAAGATATATTCAAGTGATGCACAAAAATGCTTCAAACACTTGAGTATCAAAGTAAAGACGATTACTCAGACCCTTGTCTCATGAGTGAATCATGACGGAACATGATGAAACATGCAGGATATATGCTATTATAGGAATTTACTCAGATTTTCTCAGTCATATTATACTAAAGCCCATAATCAATCTTTTAATTGTTGAAAGAATGCTCATTGAAGGCGCCACCATTCTGGTGATATTGAGACTCAAAGTTTAAATTAACCATTAATGCTGTTTCCCTTAACCTCTACATTTTTTACAGACTACTCAACTTATTTTGCTTTTAACAATCGTTGTAATTAAATGACACAATTTAATTTGTTGATTCAATTTTTATTCCATATTATTAAATATTAAGATATAATAAAACTCCAAAATTATCCTTTATGATGGGTGAAAGCTGTTGTAAATTTAATCAACAAGAATTCGAATTGCCACAAAAATTGATCCACTATTTTTTTCGAAAGATTTATTGACTCATAGAAGCGATTATGGTCGTTAGGATAAATATAATTTTGCAATTCATTGGACAATGACTTTATACGTTCAACGATCGTCATGTCCAATCGATCTGCACGTCCCATGTATACTTCACACTTATGAACCATCTCAATGTCACCAATATAAGCGTCTATCATAGCTAGAAGATTAATTTTTGAGAAAATAGTGTCCGAGTTCACAGTCAAGTAATCAGCACTTTCAATTCCCATGAGCTTGTTTACTTCGTTTATAATCTGCACGATATCTGAGTAAAGTTCAAAAAGTTTACTCTTAGGAATGTCAGATGAATCAATCGATTCCGCAAATAAATGTAAAGATTGTTCAGTATAATTGTAAAAGGTTTTTCCATCTTCGAGAATTAATTTTCTTTCGTATAAAGTCTTGACTTGATCAATTCGTCGATTTACCATAGCTGTTAAGACCAGCTTCGGTATATCTTCACGAGGATATAGACTTTTTAGAAAGTCCAACTCTCGTAGTGATGCTGAGTAAGACACATTAATCACGGCAACTGATTCAAAATGGAAAAAGACATTAAAAGAAATTGAAAAGTTAACAAAAGATGAACAACTTACATAAAAAGATGAGTCCGATCGTATTTTTCATTGTAATAGCTTTTAAATCAGTTAGTCAATGTTAATAAATCAAAAGTACAGTAAGCTACCAGATAATGAGAATACCAGATAATGAGAATCAATTTTTCAACGACCCCTCAATGGGGGGAAGATCTTTGTTATTGTTTTCGCTCTCATTATGCCGAGAAGAAACTTAAACGTAAAAGAAAAAGAAAATTTAATTAATAAATTAAATAATGGTTTATGTTATAACGATGTGAAACAAGAATTTAAAGTGTCAGTAGCCACTGTATTTCGGTGCAAACAAAATTCTGAATCAATCAGAGAAGCTATTACCAGAGGCTTGGGAAACAGATCAAGGTAAGATTTTTTTTTGTTCCAATATAAGCGATCAATTTGAATTAATTATTTTTTCTTTACTATTTTTCAGGTTGGTAAAAGATGAAAATATTATTAATCATGACAACCTTGTAAAGGAATTTATCAATCGATGCTCGGATATAGGATTACCATTGAGTGCAAAATTGATTAGGCAAAAGGCGGTCGAAATAGCAAGATCGATTGGAAGAGATGATTTGAAGTGTTCCCACCAATGGTTTCTTAGATTCAGAGAAAGGGCAAAAGTAAAAAAAGGAACCATTTCAGGCGAGAAAAAATCAATTGATAATGAATTAGTGGACCAATGGAAAAAAATTGAAATACCAAGGATTTTGATCAATTGGCAAGATGAATTCATCTTCAAATGTGACGAGACAGGTTTATTTTGGAGACAGTTACCAATCAAAACTTATTTCATTTCAAAAACTGAGCACGGAGGTGATAAGATTTTCAAAGAAAGAGTTTCGATTCTTTTTTGCGTTTGTAAAAATGGATTTAAAATGAAACCATTGATTATTGGAAGATCAGTGAAACCAAGGTGTTTTCATTCTGGTTGTTTTGAAAATTTAAATGTTGATTATATTGCTCAAGAAAATGCCTGGATGAACAGGAATATTTTTGAAAAATGGTTGACCGATTGGCATAATAAGTTAATTCTTGATAACAAAAAGGTTTTACTGATTTTAGATAATTTTTCTGGTCACAATATTAACTTTAATCAATTCCCTATGATTACCTTCAAATTTTTACCACCATCAACCACAGCAATGACTCAACCTCTCGATGGTGGTATTATTCACTCATTTAAGGCCAAATATTTAAATCTCTTTATTAATTATTTACTCGACAATAATGTCGACCAACTAAGTCAATTTGTTAAAACTATAAATTTACTCAATGCAATCAAGTGGATTGATGAAGCTTGGACATCAGTTCAAGAAGAAACTGTAAAAAATTGTTGGTCTCATTTTGGATATAAAAGACACTCTATTGATGATAACAATTGCTCTAATGTTACATCTGATGTTGATCTATCAGTTAATTTGAATAAGTTAAACTATAATTGTTGCTCTCAAGAAGAGTTCATTGAACAAATTACTTTTGAATATTTTGACGATTAAAAAATACTCTATTATTACGAAATTTGCTCTTAGTTTAACGATGTCGTGAGAATAAGCTATTTCAAGGTATTCTCATTATCTGGTAGCTTACTGTAAACTGTTTTATTAACAACTTTGAGTAACTTAATATATTAATTCAATAGATCACAACTCTTCTTTAACGCAAGTCTTGTTATTGAATTGAGTTAAAAGATATAATTGAGTGATTAACAACAATCCTTCAAACACTCAAGTATGTAAAGACGATTACTCAGATCTTGTGATATTAATGATACATTCAAATAATTATTTTGATCATTGATCAATCAACATTAATGAATTCCAGCGTTATAACTATTGATTGCTAATTATTATAGTAGCCGTTGATAATGCAAGTAACTGGTCGGATCATTGTTGATGAAAAGTTTATTTTCACTGCGTACATTATATGCAATTCACATTTAAAAGACTCAGATTCTTAATGGAGAAAAGCATCGTCAACGAAAAACTAAAAAATAAGTTTAAACCTGGTTATACAGCTGAATAAAATGAAATCTAATTTTGAACTTTGAGAGTGATTTTAGCACAATCATTCGTCTTTGACTCGATGCATTGATGTACAATCTATCGTTAAATCTATCCGTTATAACGTTTACTTTGTTTTCACAACTTTTAACACCATGTAAAATAATAATGAATCGAGTAAAAATGTGATTAATCCATGTAGAATTGAGTCATGCGGATTGGCCGCACATGATTACTTCTTCAGTTTAGATCAGAACAACAAATAATTTGTGATTGAATTGAGTTAAAAGATATAATTGAAGACATAATGGCTTACAAGTAAGTGTTTCATCTCATCATTTGAAATATTGTAAATCAAGTCTGAAAACGTGATAGGATTGACTTCATAAAATACCAACATTGGAATTCACGATTATGACGATACCAGAACCAACTTTGATCAATAATATTCGTAAAGTATTGAGGACATTTTATGCCCACAGGCCAGTATGCGCGTCAATACGATAATTGAATGAAACAATTTTATTTAATGCTTCAATTTTTATTCAATTTTATTAATAATAGATAGTGAAAACTCCAAAATTACATCTTCAAATTGATGAAGGTTGCTGTAAATTTGTTCAAAAAGAAGTCAAATCGCCACAAACACTGGTCCATTGTTTTTCGTGAAATACTGCTCTCCTCAGTAAAGAATCCGTCGTCCTTAGAAAAATGATAATTTAGCATTTCATTGGACAATGATTTTAGACGATCAACAATCTTCATATCAACTCGATTTGGACGTCCTAAGGATACTTCACACTTGCGAACCATCTCAATGTCACCAATATAAGCATCCATCATAGCTTGTAGGTTATCTCTTGAGCTATAGCGCGAATCCATAGTCAAATAATCAACATTATGAATTCCCATGATACTTTTAACATCGTTTATGAGTCGCACAATATGTGAGTAAGACTCAGAAAGATCATTGATTCGAGTATCATTTGAATCCATAGATTCCAAAAGTAATTGTAACGATTGTTCAGTTGAATTGCAAAAGATTTTTGCATCTTCAAGAATCGGTTTTCTTTCGTATAAAGTCCTGATTTCATCAATTCGTCGATTTACCATAGCAGTTAAGACCAGCTTCGGTATATCTTCACGAGCGTATAGACTTTTCATGAAGGCCAACTCTCGTAGTGATATGGAGTATGATGCATTGATCACGGCAACTAATTTAAAATGAAAAAAAGACATTTAATGAAATCGAAAAGTTAACAAAAAATGAACAACTTACATAAAAAGATGAGTCCGATCGTATTTTTCATTGTAATGGCTTCCAAATTAGTTAGTCAATGTTAATAAACCAAAAGTAAACTGTTTTACTAACAACTTTGAATAACTTTAATGAATTGAATAGATCTCAACTCGTCTTTTATATCTACCTGATTTGTTTGATCGTAGCATTGATGAACAATCTATCACTAAATCTATATTTTTTGCTTTGTTTTTTGCAAATTTAAACCAGTTTAATCCATGTAAAGTTGCTTTACTTGGTACTTTCGCCCATGATTATTTGTTCAATTTCAATCAGAACAATAATAAATTTGTTATTGAATTGAGTTAAACGATATAATTAAGTGATAGACAACAATGCTTCAAACATTTAAAAAGTGTTATCAAAGAAAATTCGATAACAACGATTTGAACATGATTGAACACATCCATTGAATCCATGTTAAATCCAATCCAACACCACTAATAGCGCGTGTTACAATCTTTGATTGTTAATTATTATCATAATTATTATAATACGATGACTTAACATTATTAATATCGTCCAGTAAATATAATATCATGTGCCATAAATACATCAAATGCGTCAATATATTGTCCATAATATCAGTACATATCAGATAGACCGTGTTGTTCAATGTTCCTGATCTTCCTAAATATTCATGCAAAAGTATTGTTTGATTGGAAAAACAATTTCGTATGTTTTTTGACAGATCAGGGTTTAGAGGACAGATGCAAGGTGCGTGTTAACTCTGTCACGTTAATTTGAATAGCAATTTCTGAACTAGGATTTCTTGTTTCTATTAATCGGTTAATTGCCATATTTTAGAGCATTAACATCGAAAAAATAAATTTGTAAATGAAGTTCAAGTTTTCATGAACTGAATCACGAATATCTCACACTGGAAGCAAGATCTTTTTATGTGAAGCTAAAATTCACGATTGTTCAATTCCCAATCCATTTCTCTGCTATGAACAATAAAAATGTTAAATTGTATGCTGGTTTCATTACTTAAATCAATTTTTGGAAATATTTCGTTTTCGAGATAAAAAACGATTGACAAAAAAAAGCATAGCATCGACCAGCCAATAAAGCATGATTAATATTCGGCCAATCTTTAGTCGAACCTGTAAATTATTTAATATCAAGACTGATTACAATCAATTTACACCTAACACTACACAATGTACTTCAGTTTTAAAAGTTAACTAACAGGATATTTCAGTTTGAAAACTAATAAAGAGATGTCGCTGGTATAAAAAAATTTTCACTTCATGATTATTATTTGATTGAATATTTAGATTATTATAAAACAATAACAATGAACCTTTATCAATTGAATCAACTTTTGCATGTTTGGATTTTAAATTGGAAACATATACATCATTTCATCATCTCATCATTTACATCATATTCGTAACCCGATTGTTTAATAAATTTGATTGTTCGTCGAGTTGGTCTGCAATAAATTATTATAAATCACTTACGGAGACCTGCTAGTAATTTGGACTCGCTTGAAATAGCTTATTTGCACTATTCGTCCAGCAACATATTATAAGGAGTGGTCCCTAAAAAATTGGACAAATTTTGAAACAAATTTCAACTATGTTGTGTTTCTTCGAATAAAGGGTTCTATAGCTCGAATTGACCATGATTTCATGGACTTTTTAAAAATATAATTTTTGTGAATCTAAATATTAAATTAAATAGGAAAAAGTGTCTTTAATTGAATGATTAGTGAAATTTAATAGTTCATTTTTGTAAAATCCCTATGAAGTTAGCTGTCAAGCTATGAGCCAAGTAGTGTTTACAATTAGTTTTAAAACTCAGAATTTTTTGATTAACTGGTCCTAAAGTTACGAAAAAACTGATATCGGTGTGTTAGGTTTGAGCGAACCCAGCTCGGGTCAAAAAATCGCTAAAATGCCACCTAAAAAATTGCTGAGCTCTAGGGAGAGATGAACTGAAAAATTTTGATGGCGCATTCTTCGAGTGGCCTTTCGGTATAAACTAAATTAAAATTACTGAAAGTTGATAGACAAGGCTCACTATCTGTCATTAATCAATGTATTTTCTCAATTTCGATTTCAATTTTTTTAATACTTTTTAAGTTATAAACGGTCAAAGTTTGTCCAATTTTTTAGGGACCACTCCTTAATTCAAGATTTTCAATTTTCTTTAATCGAGCAAATTTAAACTAAAATGTTGCTTTAACTTGATTTAATTGAAGCCTGACTGAGAGGTCAGGCTTTACCGTTAGAAATGACCGACCAGTTGAATGCCAGTATATATTTTGATAGCATTCTCACTTAAGGAATTAAAGGTTGCGGAATTCCCTATTCTTCATCTTCGAGTTCAAGTGAGGATCACATTTGAAATTTTTGCATTGGTTGAGATCTCGATGGAAATGGTTCGGTAGTAAGTATGCGCTACTACAAATCTGCTGCAATTGAAATGCAAAGTCTCGGGCATTTAACTCGATAGGACGAATTCAGTCCTACTTAAATTGCAATGCTAAGAATCTCTTACGAATGCAATGCAATGTGTTTCTTCATGATAAACCTTCATAGAAATATTTCTAATATTAATAAGATCATGAGTACTCATCATAAAATCAAGAATTTGGTATCGACAGATTTCTCTCATCGGTTACCTCTGATAGAAACACTAAATTAAACATTACAATTTTCCCCAAAATCATGCAAACTCTCTGCTAACTCCATAAAGGATCTAACGATCGTACGCTTAAGTTGTGCAAGCTTTGAATGATATTTTGATTGAAAACGTATAACGTCATTCAAGTAGTTGAATTTCACAGCAAAACAAAATAAAGTTTCAAATTAAATATTAGTCAAACTTTTATTTACTAGTTCGTTAAATTTTCTGTAAATTCAATTTCAAGTAGTCTTGGAGGGTCCATCAGCTCAAAACCAACTGGATTGCTTTTAACGACTAACACAAAGAAAGGGTTGTACTTGCCAAATTACCACCAAGGTTTCGTGGATAGATATCAGTTTTACAGAATTTCTTGGTAATATGTGGTCTGTTGATTAAAAAACGATTGAAGATGATGATTAGTAGAGTTAAAGTTACAATTGGCAATATTACAAGATAACTTACTGGTTTGGTGTAGTTTCAGTTAAATAAGCAGTCTGAATGTTAACATCGTCAATATTTCCATAGATCCTGACATGGTCATGCCAATCCAATGAAATCGCACCAACTTCCCTGAATGGCATAGACGTTTTCACTGTATAGTTGTGGGATGAAAAGCCTGCAAAGGTCGTACTGTGATAATGACAATTAATAAATAGCATCAACATTAATCATTATAAACGGCTTACGATTCGTTCAATACATGTTCTGCATCACAAACATATTCAATTGGGCCAATTTTTTTGAGTATCGAAATGTTTAAAGAGAATGGACCAACTTGAGAATTCATTTGCCCGATTTAAAGCCGATTGCATAAATGTGGTCAATACCATCTGAATGTATACGTGAAACAAATACTGGGTGATTTATTATAAGTGGAGAACTATTTTTGGCTTTTTTTCACAAGTCGATTGCACAATCTTGAAATGCTTTAGCTTTTTCTAATCCTCAGACAAAAGGAAATTTTTTGGCGCGAAAAATTTTTTTCGAAAATTTTGGTCGTTTCTATGGAGATTTGCATTGTCTATCACGTAAACGTTATCTCAGGTGCAAGTCTAGCGAACTTTTGTTCAGCACACCAATCCACTCATTATTTCAGTAAAATTTTTTCTCAGCAAACTTTTCAGCTTTAAGATGAGTGATTTATCCATGTCACAAAAGGCATTTTTTATAAAATGTTTTTATTCAAGAAATTCGTCTATTTCTGACGCCAAAAGAGGTTTTCGATCACGATATCGAAACACTGAATTACCTTCATATTCAACATTGTCCAGGTAAGATGAGAAAAATATTCTGTTTCCAAAATCAGTGAGCACATTTTAATAATTTAATTTTTTAGGTTGGTAGAAAAATTCGAAAAGAAAGGCGTTTTAATTGACTGTAGAAAAGAAAGCGAAAAAAGAGATAAGAAAGTCTGTACGCCTGAAAATATCCAAAGAGTTAAAGAATACTTTGCTCAAAATCCAAGAGATTCATTGCGAAAAACCGCTCAAGTTTTGGATATTTCATATTCTTCATTGCGATTCATTGCAAGGAAAGCAATAAAATTGTACCCCTACAAAATAACAGGAGTTCATCGCATATCAGATGAAGCTAAAGAAGCTCGCAAAGCATTTTGTGCTAATATCTTAGGGATTGAGAATGGCGAGACGTTTCCGGTTCAGCAAACAATCTTTACTGATGAGGCTCATTTTTGGATGGATGGCTATGTCAATAGTCAAAATTATCGCTTTTGGGGAACTGAGCCACCCAACGAATATAGCGATGTAAGCCTTCATCCAAAAAAAGTCACAGCTTGGGCTGCTTTCTGCTCAAAAGGAATTTTCGTTAAGATATTCACCGATACTGTTACTGGAGAGCGCTATAGAAAGCTACTTTTAGAAGAATGGCTACCGTTTGCTAATAACCATCAAGTTGTCACGGATTGGTATTTCATGCAAGACGGAGCTCCACCTCATCGTACGAATGCTGTGTTCGATGTTCTAAACTCAGCTTACGAGAATAGAGTAATTGCCTACCAGTATCCAGACAGGATGGGATCTGGAATGGATTGGCCTCCCTATAGTCCTGACCTCAACCCATGTGACTATTTTCTTTGGGGCTACGTTAAAGACCGAGTGTACGCTAACAAAATCACAAATACTGATCAATTAACTGCAAGCATACTCTCTGTAATAAATTCAATTGATAAAGATATGAGAGATAGGGTACTTGATAACTTTTATAAAAGAATTGAACTTTGTTATAACGCAGATAAAGGACATTTTGAGAAGCATAAATAATCATTAAAATTCAAAATTTTCGCGAAAAAGCGATAAAAAGTTTATTTTTGCGCAAAAATTTTCAAAAATTTTTTTCGCGCCAAGAAGTTTCCTTTTCCGAGAGCATCACGAAAAGCTGTTTGAATATTTTGAGTGGTTCGCCAAAAAAGTCCAAAAAAAGTTTTCCACTAATAATAAATCACCCAGTAAATAAATAAAATTAAAAATAATAATTAGGAACAAAAAAATCAAGAAATAAACAGGATAAAACTGTAATTATGATTTAATTACCGCGCTCATAAACAATTGGTCCAATGAGTGGGAAAGGCAATTATGGTCGAGTACAAAGAAAATAGTAGAAAAATCGTAGATTTTGCCATAATTTTTACGTTTATTAAACACGAAATGAGTAAACTTGACATAGTTGATTAATAGATGCGTATATTGTCCAAAGAGAAGTGATTTAAATGTAAATGTAAATCATATTTTATATGTAACGAAATCTAGATATTGAATATTGTAATGTTCACAGTCACATTCAAAATGCGTCATGAAATTGTTTAGCAAATTCTTGATTGCTCAATTGATTTGATTAGTTAAGTGAATTGTATTTAAATGTCTATTCTATTGTCAAGTAATCAGATTATCAACAAAAATTCCTTGATCATTTATTTTCAATTTTATCTTTACAGCTGATTTATCATTTGCCAGAATTTCATAGCGTTGCAAGAACCTTTTTCAACACTACTGGTCAATCGTTACAATTACTTTTGCAATCAATGGAATCAAATAAAGCTCAAATCAATGATGTTTATAAAGCTTACGCACGTATTGTGGACAGTATGTTCGAGGTTTACAAAGTCCAGAAAGTTACTGGTGTAGGTTATATCAATACTGATTATTTGAATGTGAATGGAAGGGATAGTTTCCCAAGAGAGGAGCTTCAAGCTATGATAGACGCTTACATTGGTGACATCGAGATGATTCGTAAGTGTGAAGTATCCTTAGGACATCCAGATCGAGTTGATATGGAGATCGTTGATCGTCTGAAGTCATTGTCCAATGATGTCAGAAATTATACTTTCTATAGAGACGATCCTAGAGGTGTTACTGAGTCATACAGTGTTTCACGAAAAACACTGGATCAGTGTTTGTGGCAACTTGATTTCTTGTTAGCTCAATTTACAACAGCCTTCATCAATTCAAAGGTTTGAGTTTTCTTTATCTAATATTAATATTAAAATGAAATAAAAATTGAAGCATTAAATAAAATTGTTTCATTTAATCATTTAAACAAGTGGAAGGATATCAATTCATCTCTGATTTGAAAATAGAGTTAATGGCGAATTCACGTTATTTTTAAATTATTTATAACAGATATGAATAAATAGTTATAATGAGCCGGTAAATTCATTCTGAACGTAAATATTGAAATTTAAATTACCTTTCGAGCTAATTATTGGGGCAACAAGTATGGTTGGAAACAAAACCAGATTCAGATTGACAAATCTATGTTTGGTCAATATTCGAGCGAACCCGAATGTTTCTCCGTGTAAATAAAAGAAGATATGAATTTTATTGACTACTTCTTATCCTAATATCCTCTTATGATAGAAGTAATTGGCGTTCCCTAATTATATTTATTCAATATGATCTATTCCCAATCAAGGTCCAAAAACAATAATCTAATTGGTATCTAATGTTTAATCTGTTTATAAGTTTCGATGAATCTATCAGTTTTTCACGGAAAGTAATGAATATATGTTTGTCGCGATTCAAAGAATCAAAGAAGAAAGAAGATAATAATACATTGATCTCAGCAGCTAATTTAAAACGAAAAAAGTTATAGCAAGAAATTGCAAAGTCAAGAAAAAATGAACAACTTACATAAAAAGATGAGTAAAATCGTAGTTTTCATTGTAATGGCTTCCAAAGTAGTTAGTCAATGTTAAAAATCAAAAGTAAACTGTTTTAGTAACAACTTTGAGTAACTTAAATGAATTGAATATACCTCAACTCGTCTTGGTACTCTTACTAGTTCAATCATAGCATTGATGTACACTCTATCGCTAAATTTATCTGTGATCTAGTTTGTTTTTCAACTTTGAACACAATGTAAATAATTATGAATCAAGTAAAAATTTGATTTATCCATGTCAAATTGAGTAATTATGATGATTATTTGTTCAGTTTCAATCAGAACAATAAAGAAGTTGTCATTAAATTGAGTTAAAAGATAATCTATACATCTAAACCAAACGGGTTCTAAAGAAAATTTTCACACAGAATGAAAGCCATGATTAAACTACAATGGCAAAAAATAGTTCGAACTTTCTCTGAATTCAGGTTACTGAGAAATTAGCGTTCAAACAGAGTAGGGGAAAAAAGCAGAATCCGTATCTTTTACTATTGACTTTGGGGGAAAAACTTTTTGGTTATTCAGGTTGATTGTTTATTGTTGGATTAGAAGGATAAGTAAAACCGTCTTTCGAGTAAAGAGTTAAGTGAAAAATATGGTACCTTGATTTGGTTCAAAAACAGCAAAACCTGGAAGGGCAAAGTCAATATAAGCAAAGCCAAAATAGCAAAGAAATAGCAAAATGATGCGCATGCGTTTTTGATTTTTTCTACTGATAGATGGCGCAGAAGACAAAAAGTTTTGTTTGAAAATAAAATAGTTTTATCGAGGCCAATATTGGAATTAGACAATCTTTATTAATGAATTCTGGCTTTTTAGATACAATTTAACGAAAGGGGAATAGCAGTGCGCATATCTAAATATCATGGTTATCTACTGCGCATCATGCTTGCAATGTATTACAATATTTGACTTTATCGATAAATTCCAAGGCGGAAATTCGATTCTCTGAATAGTCTTTCGTTAAATTAAGGATCTTTTCCGTTATCAATTGATATTTTCTGTTTTTTTGAGGCCTAACTCCATGCGAAGCGATTAACAGCTGTACTTCATAATTGTTCTGCTGTTTGATTAGTGTTTGAACGAATTGATAAATGTTTGCGTGATTGCGACCAACTGCTTTATTCAAGGCGGAATGCCATCCTTCGACATGATTATTTGTCCTTGGGTCAGTATCGTTAAAATGATTCCAAATTTCCATAGGATCGTGGATCATTGACAAATAAGTGTCTCGAAGTACTCATGAATGGTGCATTGCTAGATCATCAGGCGCTTCTATTTTTATTTGCGTATAAGTTGTTTCAATGTCGGAGATAGCTATAACCGGCAGGGCTGAAATACGCTTGACTGTAGACTTAACATTGTCTACATTGGCTTTATAACGTTCAACTAGTCCATGCTTTCCAACGTTACGCCATAGACTTTGGCTGAAGTGGAATAAACAACACTTCAATTCGCAGGCCGGAAAGATTAGATTGATTGCTTTTATGGTCGCCAGTTCAAAGTCCGTCGTGAATTGAGTAGGTCGCCAGGTTAAATCTAATTTGCAGCACATATCCTGAATAATTCTGAACAAACGCACATATGTGGCCATAGTTGAATCTGGCAGTAATGCATATACTACTGGTACCATCATTGAGTTGACCATTACATGCAAAGTATAAAGGGACGCGAAAAGATGCGGCACGCTTTTAAAAGTCCCATCCGCATAAACATGTCCTGATGAGCATAAATGATGAAGGAATGCGTTCGTTGCAAATACCAAAATTTTATCTTCATTGCCGTCATCAACTTGAAAAAACTTTTCATCGCCACTGAATTGTAGTCCAGTCGGTATATCAATTTCACTTCTTGATTTAGGAAGACTGGGGAAACGAGATGCACGGACACGGTTGATTGTCCCTTTGAGTTGACCAAAAGTTTTTAGTCCTGATAATACTTCGTCCAATGGTAACGTTGAACTAGCCAGAACTGCATTTGTAGCATCATTGTATGCTGATTTAACATTACAATATTCAGATTGTCCAGCGATTTCTTTGGCATTATTTTTTTGCTGTATACTAGCAAGCTTTGAAGTTTCAGGTTCATGGCAATGATCAGATTGCCTCACAATTGCACCATTAAGTAAATTCACTTTCCCTTTACAATTCTCATTCACACAGACCCAATAAGTAGTTTGACCAGATGAAAACTTTTTTCTGTGAATATAATTTTCTAAAATGAGTAAATTGGCCCCTTTATTTGATTTAATAAAATGATAACTTTCATTCATCTTGAAAAACTTATTCACAGGCAAAAACAAGAAAAAGAATCAAAAAAAACTATGAATATTGAGCATATGTGCATTCAATTGTTCTGGTTTGAAAAAGTTTACTCTTTGAAATTAATCAGTTTATTGTTAAAGAGTTTAAAATCATTTATTAATCTATTTTCAATTTTAAGCTGTTTTGCTTATTTGACCTTTGCTGAAATCAACTTTGCCTTTTCAGCTTTTGCTATTTTGTTTTTGCTATTCTTGAACTTTACCGGTACCTTAACTGTACAGAAAGATTTCATTCTGTTCAGCTGTATAACCAGATTTTATTTTATTTTTTAGTTTTTCTCATTGACGATAGTTTTTCATCAAGAATTTGAGTCTTTAAATATGGATTGAATTTATTGTATTTCAGTGAAAAAATTACGATCAGTCATGAT